TTTACCTGAAAAAAAGTGCGGGAGAAAACTGGCCCCCAGAATTTGGACGGTTATTTGGTACATTTAACACTTGAAAAGAGTTGGAAAAATGAGGGACTCTGCAAGAAAGGAAAATAAACACACAAACACACCCCACATCTCCCCCCTGACCCCCCAGACCATTGACTGAGCAGGGGACTCCAGGGAAGGTTTAGAATGTAAACGCTGAGGAAACCGCATTTCCTAAATTCACTCCTGGAAACATCACCGAGTGACAACCACCAAAAATAAGGGGACACCAAATGTCTTGAAAACACAGCAAAATCTGCATTGCTTTTGCCTCTCTCCAAAAAGTCTTGGGAATGGGGCAGGGGATAATACATTATCCTCTTAAGACTTCATTTCACTGCACCCTCAAATATACCAGTGCCATGGAAAAGAAAATCAAGTGAATAAATGTTGCAATTTATATATATTTGAATAGATAACAAGAACAATTTTACTGTTTGCCATAAATGAAAAACCCCACCAAATCATTCCTCTGATTGAGGTTCTGAAGCTCTGTTTATGGCTGCAAAGCGATTTGATACAAAAAAATTACACATTTTGAGTTATTATATCACCCAGAAATTTGATGCCACTTAACTATGTAATTTTCAGAAATGATATAAAACCACTGCAGAAAAATATTCAGGGAAGCCCAAAAGACCTCTTTTTATCTTTTTTTATGGGTCTAAAATGAGAACTCACAGAGATCCTTGCACTGTATGTGAAGGCTGAACTGCCACCTCGGGAGCTTTATTAATATGTATGTAAATATGATCTGGTTAGATCCTGTGTTTCTGTGTCTTTTCACAAGGTGGAGCGGCTAACTAAGCCGATCAGATCAACGCCCTGTGTTTATTCTTTTCTTTTTTTTTTTTCTTTTTTTTCCCCAAGCAGCAACATTTAAAGATTCAAAGAGAATGAGGACAGCAGCCTCATTTATGTCAAGATTGTCTCAAACCTCCTTCCTTCCTCCTCCCCCCCCCCCCCCCACTCCCAACTCCCAGATCTGTATCGAAAACAATTTACTTCTAACTTAACACGAGCTTTCTCAGTAAAGACTGGGAAGAAACTAAAATCACATCACCCAGAATCTGCAGCTCCAATTTTTCTTCCACTGAAAAGTTATTTGAGCAAATGGGGAGAAAGTGGAAATGCATTCGAAATGTGTCCAAGTGACACATCAAGCTTCTCCTCCGTGAGGATATTGGGACTTCCTCTTTACACTGAAGCCACTGTTATTTATGTATCTATATCCGTGCCAAATTTTAGCTAAAGACATTGCACGATTTAAAAAAAAAAAAAAAAAAAAAAAAGAAAGAAAAGAGAAACCCAGAAGCTGAACATGTGTGTGCGGAGAGTTCTTGACTCAGCATGCCTTGTTGTATATGAGATAAAATGGAATATTTAACGTCATATGAGCTTGTTTTCCCCTATGATAAGGACACTGTTTCTATATGAGAACTCCTCAAATCCCTGGTTTATTATGAAGACAGAAAAGATGATTACCTTAACACAAGATATTTTGTGCACAAGACTGTTCCCCCCTCCTCCCCCCCCCCGCATTTAAAACAAGGGACTACAGCACCTTTAGAGCTAGCGAAATGCTTGTTCTTGTCTTGCGGGTTATGCTCCCGTTTTGCCTGTTTCTTTCTTCCTTTGAGGGATTTTTTTGTTGTTGTTGGGGTTATTTTTGTGTTTTGGTTTGGTTTTGTTGTTGTTGTTGTCGTTATGGGGAGCTGCCACCCCAGGTTCGCAGGACGATGGAGGGAGGCCGGCGCTGTACCGGCCAGCTGCAGATGGAGGCGGGTCGTGGGATAGGTCAAGGTTAGAAAGAGCCTGCTATTGATCTGGCTTTGAACGCGAGACAGGGAGAGCAGAGAGACTAAAGGGGGAGCTGTGAGACAAGACATTAACAGCTTTCAGTGCTAATGATCACAAGTGCCAGACAGGGGAGGAAAGAGGAGACTGAGAAATCACTTTGGAATTTTTTTTTTAATTTTTTTTTTTTTCCCCCAATTGGGATGTATTTTCGGGGGAGGAG